GAGGAAGCACTCCGCCCACCCCACCACACCCCTGACTGTGCTCTGGTCGTGGTGGGGCTTCCGCATGGGAGTCCAGGTCTCTTACCAGGGCAGTGGCGCCCACGAGGGACTCCTTGGCCAGGGCATGGCGCAGGGCAGAGAAGAGCCCCATGCTGTTTTGTCTCAGATAGAGCACCTCACCCACGCCGCCTGTGAAGTCCACAAAAGCCTCATTCATGTGGCCGCCCCGCATCACCTCGTAAGAGCCGTGGAGCCTGTGGGAGCAGATCTGGGGTCAGGGTTGAGGCAAGTACGAGCATCTCAGGCACCCCTGCCCTAGGATCTGCAGGGGCCTCTATCTCAGGGTATAGAATCCCCAGGGGAAATTCCTGAACTTTTGAGACTTTTTTCAGGGTCTCACCCTGTGGCCCAGGCCGGAGTGCAGTGGCGTGATCTCATCTCACTGTAGCCTCAGACTCCTGGGTTCAAGCGATCCTCCTCCCACCTCAGCCTCCTGAGGAGGTGGGCCCTCAGGTGCACACCGCCACACCCAGCTAAAACAATTTCAAACTCTTGGCTGGGCATGGTGGCTCACGCCTATAATCCCAGCACTTTGGGAAGCCGAGACAAGTGGATCGCCTGAAGTCAGGAGTTCGAGACCAGCCTGGCCAACGCGGTGAAACCCCGTCTCTACTAAAAATACAAAAATTAGCCAGGTGTGGTGGTGGGCACCTGTAATCCCAGCTACTCGGGAGGCTGAGGCAGCAGATTTGCTTGAACCCGGGAGGTGAAGGTTGCAGTGAGCCAAGATCGCACCACAGCACTCCAGCCTGGGTGACAGAGTGAGTGAGACTCCGTCCCAAAATAAAGAAAAAGATGTGAAGTTGCTCAGGTGATGTTGTGATTTGAGGGTTCTGGGGGTTGTCACTTGGTTTGGGATTCTTGGTGGGGTGTCTGGAGGATTGCAGAGCTTGGGGACTCTGGGTGCCCCCTGTGGCTTGGTGCCTGCTGCGGGGACTTGGGGCTGCAGCTGGTTGGAATTGGGGTCCTCACTTGGCATAGGCCTTCTCCAGGAGTGGGGCCCAGAACTCGTTCCGCTGTTCCGAGCGCACGAACATCAGCTTCCCCTCGCGCACAGGCAGCCTGTCATCCACCACGACGTCCACCCAGCGGCCGAACTGCCAGAGCTGGCGGGAGAAGATGCAGGGCCAGACTCGGCTTCCAACCTCCAACCCTGCCTGGACCCTGCCTCTGGGCCCTGACTCTGCTGTGCCAGTCCCAGAGTCAGGAATTACAGCCCCAAGTCAATGTTAACTATGAAATCCATATCACTGGCTGGGTGTGGTGGCTCACACCTGTAATCCCAGCACTTTGGGAGGCCGAGGTGGGTGGATCACGAGGTCAGGAATTCGAGACCAGCCTGGCTAAGATGGTGAAACCCTGTGTCTACTAAAAATACAAAAAAGGCCGGGCGCGGTGGCTCACGCCTGTAATCCCAGCACTTTGGGAGGCTGAGACAGGCGGATCACGAGGTCAGAAGATCGAGACCATCCTGGCTAACACAGTGAAACCCCGTCTCTAATAAAAATACAAAAAATTAGCCGGGCATGGTGGTGGGCGCCTGTAGTCCCAGCTACTCAGGAGGCTGAGGCAGAAGAATGGCATAAACCCGGGAGGCGGAGCTTGCAGTGAGCCAAGATTGTGCCACTACTCCAGTCTGGGCCACAGAGCAAGACTCCGTCTCAAAAAAAAAAAAATTATCTGGGCATGGTGGTGGGTGCCTGTAATCCCAGCTACTCAGGAGGCTGAGGCAGAAGAATGGCATAAACCCGGGAGGCGGAGCTTGCAGTGAGCCAAGATTGTGCCACTACTCCAGTCTGGGCCACAGAGCAAGACTCCGTCTCAAAAAAAAAAAAATTATCTGGGCATGGTGGTGGGTGCCTGTAATCCCAGCTACTCAGGAGGCTGAGGCAGAAGAATGGCATAAACCCGGGAGGCGGAGCTTGCAGTGAGCCAAGATTGTGCCACTACTCCAGTCTGGGCCACAGAGCAAGACTCCGTCTCAAAAAAAAAAAAATTATCTGGGCATGGTGGTGGGTGCCTGTAATCCCAGCTACTCAGGAGGCTGAGGCAGAAGAATGGCATAAACCCGGGAGGCGGAGCTTGCAGTGAGCCAAGATTGTGCCACTACTCCAGTCTGGGCCACAGAGCAAGACTCCGTCTCAAAAAAAAAAAAATTATCTGGGCATGGTGGTGGGTGCCTGTAATCCCAGCTACTCAGGAGGCTGAGGCAGAAGAATGGCATAAACCCGGGAGGCGGAGCTTGCAGTGAGCCAAGATTGTGCCACTACTCCAGTCTGGGCCACAGAGCAAGACTCCGTCTCAAAAAAAAAAAAATTATCTGGGCATGGTGGTGGGTGCCTGTAATCCCAGCTACTCAGGAGGCTGAGGCAGAAGAATGGCATAAACCCGGGAGGCGGAGCTTGCAGTGAGCCAAGATTGTGCCACTACTCCAGTCTGGGCCACAGAGCAAGACTCCGTCTCAAAAAAAAAAAAATTATCTGGGCATGGTGGTGGGTGCCTGTAATCCCAGCTACTCAGGAGGCTGAGGCAGAAGAATGGCATAAACCCGGGAGGCGGAGCTTGCAGTGAGCCAAGATTGTGCCACTACTCCAGTCTGGGCCACAGAGCAAGACTCCGTCTCAAAAAAAAAAAAATTATCTGGGCATGGTGGTGGGTGCCTGTAATCCCAGCTACTCAGGAGGCTGAGGCAGAAGAATGGCATAAACCCGGGAGGCGGAGCTTGCAGTGAGCCAAGATTGTGCCACTACTCCAGTCTGGGCCACAGAGCAAGACTCCGTCTCAAAAAAAAAAAAATTATCTGGGCATGGTGGTGGGTGCCTGTAATCCCAGCTACTCAGGAGGCTGAGGCAGAAGAATGGCATAAACCCGGGAGGCGGAGCTTGCAGTGAGCCAAGATTGTGCCACTACTCCAGTCTGGGCCACAGAGCAAGACTCCGTCTCAAAAAAAAAAAAATTATCTGGGCATGGTGGTGGGTGCCTGTAATCCCAGCTACTCAGGAGGCTGAGGCAGAAGAATGGCATAAACCCGGGAGGCGGAGCTTGCAGTGAGCCAAGATTGTGCCACTACTCCAGTCTGGGCCACAGAGCAAGACTCCGTCTCAAAAAAAAAAAAATTATCTGGGCATGGTGGTGGGTGCCTGTAATCCCAGCTACTCAGGAGGCTGAGGCAGAAGAATGGCATAAACCCGGGAGGCGGAGCTTGCAGTGAGCCAAGATTGTGCCACTACTCCAGTCTGGGCCACAGAGCAAGACTCCGTCTCAAAAAAAAAAAAATTATCTGGGCATGGTGGTGGGTGCCTGTAATCCCAGCTACTCAGGAGGCTGAGGCAGAAGAATGGCATAAACCCGGGAGGCGGAGCTTGCAGTGAGCCAAGATTGTGCCACTACTCCAGTCTGGGCCACAGAGCAAGACTCCGTCTCAAAAAAAAAAAAATTATCTGGGCATGGTGGTGGGTGCCTGTAATCCCAGCTACTCAGGAGGCTGAGGCAGAAGAATGGCATAAACCCGGGAGGCGGAGCTTGCAGTGAGCCAAGATTGTGCCACTACTCCAGTCTGGGCCACAGAGCAAGACTCCGTCTCAAAAAAAAAAAAATTATCTGGGCATGGTGGTGGGTGCCTGTAATCCCAGCTACTCAGGAGGCTGAGGCAGAAGAATGGCATAAACCCGGGAGGCGGAGCTTGCAGTGAGCCAAGATTGTGCCACTACTCCAGTCTGGGCCACAGAGCAAGACTCCGTCTCAAAAAAAAAAAAATTATCTGGGCATGGTGGTGGGTGCCTGTAATCCCAGCTACTCAGGAGGCTGAGGCAGAGAATTGCTTGAACCCAGGGTTGGGGGCGAAGGTTGCAGTGAGCCGAGATCGCGCCACTGCGCTCCAACCTGGGTGACAGAGCGAGACTCCATCTCAGAAAAAGAAAAGAAAAGAAAAGAAAAGAAAAGAAAAGAAAAGAAAAGAAAAGAAAAAAGAAAAGAAAGAAAGAAAGAAAGAAAGAGAGAAATCCATATCACCAAGTCACCACGGGGAAAACTGAGGCATGGGCAGAGGACCTGAGCTGTACCTGGAAGTGGAAGACACCTGCGTAGCCATGCTGGAAATCCTGTCCAGGAGGGACCACCCGGCGCAGGAGCCGGGGATACAGAGTAAGGGAGGCGGCGGCCGCAAGGAACCAGCAGTTACCTGGGAGGAGAGGCCGGGATTAGGTGAGGAGGGAAGGAGGGAGGCCGGGCGCGGTGGCTCACGCCTGTAATCCTAGCACTTTGCGTGGCTGAGGCAGGAAGATCACTTGAGCCTAGGAGTTCAAGACCAGCCTGGCCAACATGGCAAGACTCCAGCATAAGAAAATTTAAAAATTAGCTGGGCATGATGGCATGCACCTGTGGTCCCAGCTACTTGGGAGGCTGAGGCAGGAAGACTGCTTGAGTCCAGGAGATCAAGGCTGCAGTGAGCTATGATGGTGCCACTGTATTCCAGAATGGATGACCGAGTGAGACCCCACGAAGGGGAGGGGAGGGGAGGGGAGGGGAGGGGA